TCCTCATATAACGGCCTAAATATTGCGATTTTTTCAAGCAATTTTTTTGTTTAAAAACCGTATGCCAAACGGGCCAATTATAAGTTTAATTTTGTCTTTGGTATATAAACTTTATGTATGAAAAAAATAGCTGTTAATATTGAACAGCCGAGACATGGGACGCATTAAAAAAACACGAAAAATTAGTAAAATACACGTTTTTTGAGCACCGTGTAATTATTTAGAAATATTGATTGAGTGAATTTATATTTTTTTTATAAAAACTACTATATTTTAGCTTTAAAATGACATCTTAAAAATTAAAATATCTTTAATAGAAAAAAAAGTACAGCTTAAATTATTAAAGCATAAAAATGACGTTTTTAAAAAGTGTTAATTCGAATAAGTCGGATTTGACAAATGAAAAATTAAATAAGGGTGGATATGTCCTTTGGGACCCTAATGAATATTTCTACAAAATTTGAGCAAAATTCAAGATGGTCGAGCAACGAGTTTCGGCGTTTTCATATGGATTGACTAGTATGTAAATCAAATTTTGATTACATTTTTATTAAAATTTTAGCTTTTAATAAAACTGTAAAACGATTACTTTTTAAATTAAATAGTTCAATGTATCACTTATTTATAATACATATTTTATATTATTTCGTTAATTTGCATAAAGATAAAACCTGATTAAATTTTTCTAAACTATAACAAACTTGAGAATTTAATTACGGGAAAACGGAAATAGATCAAAAGAAAGCGCTAGTGGAAAAAAATCCAGTGGCGTATCAAATTTTTCTTAGTAGAACTATACGGGAATATCCGTATGTACGCCACTGAGTAACCTGCAAAGTTAATTGTGCTAAAAAAATAAATAATTACTAGGGACCAGACTTATAATATAGACACCTAAATATTTCAAAAAAGGCACCCAAAATAGGCACAAAAAGGCGATATATAATATACATTAAAAAAGTAGCAAACAATCATTTTGGAATTAAACAAAAAATTACAAAAATATTTTGGAAAAAAGTAAAATTGATTTGGTTTTAGCTTTAATTATTTGTTTTAGATACAGAGGTAGTTTTTTAAATTTATATTAATTTCAGTATTGTTGATAAGCAATGAATTATGTATTTAAAATAAAATTGGCTGTTGAATGTATGCAACCCAGTTAACACGCATTGCATCGATACCTATATTATTTTATTTACTGTAATGAAAAAGTAAGTGTACAAATTTAATACTACCAGTAATTATAATAAAAAATCAAATTTAAATTAGCAAAATTATACTATATAGCCTGGTTTACCACTATATCTGATTTAATACTTGATAATTTATTTTTAACATCATTTTGACAATTGTTTTTGGCAAAAATCTCGGTATACAAAATTAAAATTATTTTGAAAAGAAAATTATAAAAAACTCCCTATAAATCTCTAGCTTCTTTTTTAAGAATCAGAGTACAAAGTTAAACTTTGTAATAAAATCATTTTTACTTTTTTAGTTAGCAAAATTTCCTTCTTTTTAAATCCAAATAATAAATTAATTTATTAGGAAAACTACCAAATTAATTAATTAATTAAATTAATCTCAGCGAATTCGCCATTTTTAACAATACCAAACATGGTTTTTAGAATATTTGTCATTTGATAATCATTATGATAATTTGGTATTATAATAAGACATTTTATTATTTCTGGGAATGCCTAATGTTTTTTAAAACTGTGTACCTTGACTTACATCTGGTGTCAATTTACATGGAAAAATCCACAAAAATATTTATCATTATGCTAATTTGAATTTTTTCATTGACATTTTTAAAATACTTTAAAATACGAATTAAATTGTTCTAGATGCAGTATGTTTTATCATCCTTGTGTCATTTACATTAATACAGAAGCATCTTAGAATGTTTTTAAAAACAGTCTACAAAGATAAATAGTTTGCTAAGCAATTCCAAATAAAAATGTAAGTACCAAGATTTTATCTTTTTAAAATATTTCTTCTCCTAGAATTAAAAGTTAAACAGATCCACATAAAAAATTGCATTTAGAAACCACTAAAATTAATTTTAAGGGTTTAAATTTTTGTGGGGAGAACTATCAAACATGTGCATTCAAAAAAAATGTTTATATGTCGTAAATTGTTTTTACTTAACGTAAATTGTTTTTATTTAACGTATTAAAAAGTATTGCGTAGGAAATTAATTTATTATAATTACAATCAATTTTATATTTTTTGATAATAGCATTTTAATTAAATAATTAAACAATACGGATCTGAAATAAGTTACAATAGAAACATTACCTTAATTAAATTTTAACAACCAAACGTTTTACCAGTGTTTAGTCATGTTAGTAAGTGTGTTTTATAGTCCTTGATCCATTGGCAATACTTTATGTCACAAGAATGTTCATCTCTCTGATTTTCTCGATTCTAATTGGACTGGCTTGTTTAAAGATTTTCGCTATTATTACATGTGGATGGTGCAAAAGTAATGTTTGTCTTATTGGAAGAACTGCAATCGTTACTGGAGGAAATTCAGGCAAGTGTCAAACCACCAATTACTATATTTTTTAAAGTGTGACCACCGAGGATTTTTAAAATTTTGTTTTGAGTTATTTTCTACATTAAAATAGTTCTCACTGAACATTTTGACGATATTTGTTTTAAACTTTTTAGAAGTAAAAATATTAATAATAAAAATACTAACTATACAGTTAATTAATTAATATAATATTAATAATTAATTTTACTGACTATAGTCAGTACTATAGTAAGGGTGTTTTTACAACGAGCGTGCTACACAACCAGGCACAGACAAACAGACCTCATCAGTGCCGGATACACAAGCTGTCATGGCCTTATATAGGCAAACAAGTACAGCGACAGCGGTGAGATGTAATTAGCCACTGGTAAGGCACTGATAAGGTCTAATAAGAACGTGTAGCACGCTCGAAACAAAAGCACATCAAAGTTAGTTTTCAGATGGAGTATGAAAATGAAACAATTTCAGATTTCAAATTTGCATTACTTGAAAGTAAAAAATCCAAAATTTTAAAAGTGGCGGTTTTTTTTTTAATACCTAAAAGATAATAATCATTTTTTTAAATCAAAAACCATGTACACAGTAAAAAAATCTTCACACTAGGCTTCACTAGAAAACACTATTTATAGCTTGAGCAGGTCCAGTTTATTAGAGTTCAAATTTTCACCTTAAATTTAGTGTTGTTTTAACTCTAGAGGTTGTACTCTCATTTACCACAGTTCGTGCGACTTCATACACTATTTGATTGAAAATTACCACATTAACCGTGTTCGGTAGCTTATATTATAAACCACAACTAAACAACTTGGTGCATTCTTCCAACACAAATTCTGAGACAACAATGAACGAAACAAGTTTGCGATTTTGTCAACTGAACACCCTCTGATTGCATATTTACACTAATATGCACTGCCAGAACTTGGCTAATGTTAAATGTATATTTAAGTGTAAAGTTAGATTGATGTGGAACACTACTATCATTACATCGCACTTAGTCGAAAAAATATATTTTAGGATTGAAAATAGTGTGATGTTTTTCAACTTTCACCTGGGAGAACACTCAAATATTTTTTTGTACTGACTGAACCCTCACTTAATGTTGACTTCAGACTACCATCCTACGCAAAATAAAATGAATCTTGCCTATGGTATAACTATTTTTAATATTTTAGGAATTGGTCTGCAAATAGCACTTGGTTTAGCATCAAAAGGTTGCAGAGTGATAATTGCTGATAAAGATGACGGTACAGCATCAGTACAAAAAATAATAAAAGAAACCCGCAACACCAATATCGCCTACAGAAATGTGGACTTGTGTTCATTTAAATCCATCAGGAAATTCGCCAAAGAGATTATAGCAACAGAAAAATCACTACACATACTTATAAACAATGCGGGAATCGCTGCTACAAATTTGGTTTTAACCGAAGACGGAATTCAGAGAACCATGCAGGTTAACTATTTTGGACCATTCTTGTTAACATATTTATTAACTGGTAAATATATTTTTTCTAATATATGTATTTTGGGCCTCGATCAGTATTAGATCATTTAATCTTTTTTGAATTAAAACATGGCATTTGAGCAATAAAACAAACATATTTTTCTAGATATTATGAAGAAGTCAGCCCCAGCCAGAATAATATTTGTAACATCCTATTCGGCTATAATTAGTACACTTTCGTTGAAAACGTTAAACCCGACTGACACCACAAAGGAAATTTGGGGGCTATATCAAAACTCGAAATTCTGCGACCTGTTAGCAGCTATTGGTTTCGGCGAAAGACTGAAAGGTACAGGGGTAACTGCGAACTGCGTTTGTCCTGGAGCCGTCAACTCTCAAATTTATGCAGCTGCTTCGAAAGATCAAGGAAGTTTGATTGGAATCAACATTTTGAGTTTTCTATCAAAACTTTATGGAAAGGTATAAAACACATATAAAAACCTATAAGAATTTCAACATATTTTTTTTGTTAGACTCCACAAGAGGGAGCGCAGACGGCGATTTACCTGGCCAGTGCAAATGAGGTGGAAAATTCCACAGCACAATTCTACAAGGAATGCAAAAGAATGTGGTTACTCCCGCCCAAAGCGTACAGTAAGAAATTCAGGCAAGAAATATGGGATGAAACGGTAAGACTGGTGAAAATTCAGCCCAGTGAGAAGATTTAAATAATTAGTGAATTGGTCAAATCCTCATAAATTATGATATATTTGGTCGATTTGGTAAAACCTAAACTTCAAATAAATTGATTATTTTTTTAAAGTGTTAAACAATAATTACAATGAATTAAGTGTAATATTTTTAGTAACCAATTACCTTGTGTAACTTTTGCAATAAAATTATGTAAGGTAATTAATTAATTGTTTTAATAAACAAAACAATCCTTTTAAAGAACTTTTAATGTATTTATGGATAATTGTAATTTAGGTAAAATTAGTTACTATGTAGTTTATTACTAACTTTTATTTCACGCTACCTCTACAATTTATTGTTTGCAATGCTTGGAACCATTCTTTTTATACTTTTTGTTATATGGGTTATATTTCGGATTACTGATACAAGAAATCATAGCAAAGCTTGTCTGGTGGGGAAAACTGCTGTAGTTACCGGAGGAAACAAAGGTAAGTAAAAACAAAATATTAAATATGAATTGTAGTTATGGACATGGACATGGGAATGAACAATTTGGCACAAGATTATTCTTCTTGAGATGCGATATTCTTTGGGCCCGCGTGTTGGCCAGATTTGGCCCTGTGTAACTTATTTTTTGTGCAGTTTTTTTTGCTTGGATATCATCTCAATTATTTAATTACAGTCTAAAAACAATTTTTTCCGACGTCGTTTTACCCTGCCTAAGTGAAATTTTAATGGCATAAGAAAATATTATCTAGCTATCTTAAAGACGTGCAACAATAGAGAAGACACATTTTTGTCTTAAACGATTTTATTTTGGTCTGTGTTGTCTGCTAGCCCCATCCTTTGGCAATTCATGCTATAGATATGAAGCTTACGGTTCTTCAAGTAAATTTCCTACAGGGTGATATGTTAAACGGTGAAAAATTTCAATAACTTTATCCAAGCCCCGTTTGAAAAAAGAAATATTTCTTGTTTTTACTTCGAAATAATGAAGTATTATGTCTTACCTTGAAAAGGTTTTCAAATTTTTCGAATTGGAATCTTAGCAACGAAAATATGATTTTTTTTCCAAAAGAGTACATTTAAGAGTTTTTGGTAGGCAATACACTCAGCCTTTTTTAAGAACAAGAATATAAAATGGTAAAAGATTGTTACTTGAATAATTTTGAACAAGCAAAAAACAACAAGCAACAAACTTCCATTATTTTCAGAGGGGCCTAAGCAAAGACCACTTTTTCAAAATAACATAATGGTGAAAATTTGAGAAAACTAAACCTGAACCGATATTTACGTTCGTGACATGTTTTCTTTATAATTTTGGCCTCCTGATTGTGATTCGGTTGTCAAATTTAAGTTTCAGATAAAACCGAAATCACCAAGAATCAAAATTCCCGCCTGTTAAATGTCTTAATAAAATCCGATTTCTCGCGTGTTTCTTCCATATTTATGATTAAAATGACATTTGGGGATTTATTTTTTGGGCGAAATTACTGAAATTTGTTTAAGAGGTTAGGATAATGTTACATTTAACTTACATTTATATTGCGCACTAGTGATAACTTATCACTGGTAAGTACCTACCTAATTGGTAATAATAACTTTCAATATTTCGTTGGCGCTCCCCTAACCCGTAATAATTCGTTAACCCACCTGGGCCTCGACCAAGTTCCTTATAAATTCCTGGAGTATCCCATATTTCCTGAATAGCATTTACAAATTCATCCAAATTTTCCATGCGTCCTTCCCTCTCTTTTATCTTCAGTTTCATCCTGCTCCACACATGCTCAATGGGATTCATATCCGGAGACAAAGTTGGCCAATTATTTCTCTCAATATGGTGGTCCCTTAAATACTCATTTAAAAAACTTCGAAATATGGAAAAACAAGCAAACTGAAAAAATCAAGAATATCCCTCATAATGCGTTTTAAATGTTTTTCAAGAACTAATTTTCATTTAATCCTCGATTTGTTCATTCAGCAACATGATAATAACCTACTAAAGATGCAAAACACATTTAAAACATAGTAAAAACCAGCAATCGTATTTTATTGAATCTTCATTCTTGATGATTTTGGTTTTATCTGAAAATTAAATTTGACAACTGATCACAATCAGGAGGTCAAAGTTTATCGGTTTACGTTTAGTTTTCTAAAAAATTTCACCAAAATGTTATTTTGAAAAAATGGTCTTTGCTTAGGACCTCTGAAAATAATGGAAGTTTTTTGCTTGTCGCTTGTTCAGAATTATTTAAGGAACATTCCTGAAAAGACTGAGTGTATACAAAAAAATCTTAAATGTACTCTTTTGGAAAAAAATTATATTTTCGTTACTAAGATTCCAATTCGAAAAATTTGAAAAACATTTCAAGGAAGGTAAGTAAAAACGAGAAAAAAATTATTTTTTTACAAACGGAGCTTGGATTAAGTTATTAAAAATTTTCACCGTTTAACATATCACCATGTAGGAAATTTACTTGAAGAACCGTAAGCTTCATATCTATAGCATGAGGATGAGGCTAGCAGACAACAAAGACCAAAATAAAATAGTTCAAGAAACAAAAAAGTTACTTCGTTTTGAAAAAGAACAAACTTTTTGGTCGCGACACATTGAGTGGTGCCCAGTTTAATTAAATAATATCGGAGGACAATGTTTGAATTAAATTATAATTATTCTATTTCTTTTAATTTGTCTTTTTACTTTGGTATCATCTAATTTATTTGTTCGAAGACAAAAAAAATCATGAGATCAAATCCAAATCTCATATTATTACTACTATATTTTAATAATTTAAATAAAATGTTTATACAAGTTTTTCAATTTCCAAAATGTACTTATAAAACCATTAATGGTTAATTATTAAAATGCAATTACGCATTAACAATGCAATTTGCGAAATATTACAGTATATTAATGATAATTGGATAAAAATAAAATAAAATTTTCTATTTATAGGAATTGGGTTTCAAACATCAATAGGTTTGGCGGCTCGTGGCTGTAAGGTTATAATAGCTTGTAGAACAAATGCAGAAAATGAGAAAAACGAAATTATAAAACTAACAGATAATCCCAACATAATTATAAAACATTTGGATTTAGCCTCGTTTAAATCTGTGAGAGCGTTAGCAAAAGATTTAAATAAAACTGAAGAAAAAATTGACATATTAATCAATAATGCAGGTCTAGCTAAAGTAGTCGATAATTTAACTGAGGATGGGTTTCAGTATATTTACCAAGTCAACTTTTTAGGACCATTTTTGCTTACACATCTTTTATTAGGTAAGGCGGTTGTCCCAAAAATAACGTTTTCTATTTTTATTAGCATCCAATTAAGTAAACAAAAAATATCGTATTTTAGATAGTTTAAAGAAGGCCAAAAAAGCCCGTATACTATTCCTATCGTCAAACTTGGTTTGGTTACAATCTCTAACTGTAAATACGATGAGTGAAAAATGTGAAAAAGTATCATTTATGTATCTTCAGAATGCTTATGGCAATACCAAGGCAGCCTTAGCAATTGTGGCAAGAGTTATGGCTGAGAAACTGAAATCGCATAGTATAAAGTGCAATGCTCTTCACCCTGGTTACTGTTATACAGAAATTTTTGAGGCTACCAGCAATGTTGTGCCTACATTTGTAGTGAAGGCATTTTATTTGTTCAGCAAAATTTATGCAAAGGTAAATTTTTAGGTTTTTCCAAATTTAATTTAATGTATCTAGTTTTTAGACTGCCGAGGCTGGTGCTCAGTTAACTTTAAAATTAGCGATGTCGAAATCGTATGAAAATTTAAGTGGTGCTCTTCTGTGGGACTTGCATACCTTACCCAGTCCTGGAATCGTAAGAGATAAGAGATTTGGAAACGAATTTTGGAGCGAAACCGAAAAACTTGTGGGACTAAAAGATAGTGAAAAAATTAAATAAAATGTTTATAATATAAATAAAACATGGTTTATTAAATATATTATTATATTCACACAACGACTTAAAAAAACGTAATTTGGGAAATAAAAAGCATTTTATCTGAACCAATTATTTAAACAATTTTTTTAGAGAAAAGATTACAAAAAATGTAAATTTTTCTAAGATTAAACTGTACAATACATTAGAATTTAGTAGGGCTGTTCATTTTAGCCGGTTAAGCCGGCTAAAAAAGTTAATTAGCTAGCTAACTGATCAGCTTAGCTAATTTAACTTGTTAACTAAATTAGCTTAGCTAATTAGCTGGCGACTTAACCGGTTAATCTAGCTTAGCTCAGCTAATTAGCTAAAGACTAACCGGCTAATTTTTTTAAGCTCTATAATGATTTCTTATTTTTGGACAGGTTAAAAAAAATATTTATAGTGCTTTTATGACAAACAATAATAGAGTAATTTTTTAGGTTAAATAATATTTTACATTTTATTTTTATTTATATAAATGGCTTTTAAACTTTTTTTAGTCGGCTTACCCGGGCAAATTGTACAGCCCTAGAATATAGTAAGAAATAAATTTTGTTAATTTAATAATCAGTGCACATAAAAAAAATCTAACATAGTACCAAGAACAGCGCTGTCATTGAATGCATTAAAATTAAAGCAATCTAAATTGTTATTTGCTCAATTAATTACTATTAAACCAAAATAGGGAAACATTTTGCCTAAATGTCAAAGAATTTATTGCGTTAAATGTATACATAGTATACATACTATGGTAACGTTATTAAATAAATCAAATTAGTATTTAATGCAATAACATTCTAACATTCTAACAAATAAATATCAATATAAATATCATTAGATTTAGGAGCGATAACTTTTGTTATTAATTTAAAAACAGAAAACGATTATAAACCAAGTACTAACTCCTATTGGTATTATAGGAACTGTTATTCAGAAATAGGGATTACAAGATGCTATGGTACAGTTTTTTTCTGTGGGTTTTTTGGTTTTATTTTTAATTAATTATTTATTAAGTAAAAAACTGTTTCTCGTAATAACTGGGTAATTCCATATAAGACCAATTGTTTGTATGAATATTCAATTAATTAATATAGCCCTTTCTACACAGTGTATCAACTATATTGCCAATGCTATTACCATTAATAAAAAAAAATCAGGTGAATACCGATTTAAAAAAAGACACAAAAAAAACTCAAAACCAACCTATTTTCCTAAAGTAAAAATAAAAAACATTATTTTTACTTACCTACAAGGTCGTGAAAAACTGCATACAAACATACAAACTACGTACAAAGAAACAAAATGATATATCATTATATTACGTATTTATAACTTTGGTCAGATTTATTTAAAGGCATTTTGCAGAATTGCCAAAAAACTAAGAAATTTTAACAAAGTTTGGTAGGATCTAGCTGTTTTCAAAGGTTCAAGAAAGTGCTCCCTTTTCAAAAATAGAGGTTTTGTTTCCCTAACATGTTTGTATGCAAGCTATAGATTTTATTTAAAATTGCTAGTTGGATGCTTTCGCGATACTTTCGAGAAATGACAATTCCATAACTTTAATGACAAAAAAAACAGACTTTAAAAAAGAAGCAAAAATTTGAAAATAATTAAGTTTAATGCTTGTTATGCACAAATTATTATATTTAAAAAAAATAATATTGTAAATAGGTACATAATAGCATCCGAATAATTTTTAACTTTTTAGTTCTTTTTTAATGTTTTTTTTCGTGTGACCATTCCATACTAGACAAGGTCGACGATGAAACACTTTAAAATCATAAACAAGTTTGTAAATGTCATGTTTTACCTATTTTTCTAAAAGTTGCAGTCATCGTCGATCCGTTAAAACAATATCGGACTTTCGTTAATAGTTTCACATTATGCTTTTATGTTTTTCTATATTTTAATTTACATTAAAAGGTAATAAGTCGCGTAATTATCTGCAAGGTAATTTAATTGAGTAAATTTGTAAACATTTTATAAAGGTATGTTAAGACAATCATAACATTACCTACAGCTAGTGTAATTGCTAGGTTGATATCTATAAATAATGATTTACCTATTCTTTGGTGCGGCGTTTCTTTTTTGGGTTCTACTCAGAGTTACTGATACCAGGAATAATAGTAAAACTTGTTTGGTTGGAAAAACTGCCCTGGTCACCGGAGGAAATAGAGGTAAAATATTTTTTCTACGACCACTATGTAAAAGTCACATTTCGTAATGGCATCGTTACTCAGAAAATGAATCTTTTCATTGGCAAGGCAAAACACGAATGTAAAGTGACATTCCTTTGTGAAAAGTGACAGGTCTGTGTGAAAAGAAATTGATAGCATCGTTTGACATTCGTTTCAAAATTTGTATTGTATTTGGATATGTATATCTAAATATAATTTAGAACACAATTAATTGTGTTTGTATAATAAATTCCAATTTTTCCTTATTTAAATTGAAAAGGTAAGTTTATTAATTTTAAGTAACTTTTACCTTAAAAATTAAAATAAGATTAAAGTAATTTTAACAGCTGTCAAACACGTTTTTAGGTTATATTGCTTTGTATTTCAATATAATAAAAAATAAAACGGTCGTACAATAGTATATTCTGTAACAAGTTTGGAATACAGCATATTCCGCTCGAGTGAAGAGTTTGTCACACAAGCCGAAGGCGAGTTTGACGGTTTCACGAGAGCGGAATATGCAATTCCAAACGTGTTTCAGACTATACTTTTTTTACGTTTCCAAAAAATACCATATAAAAATAATTTAATTGGAGAGAGTGAGGTTGGATCGGTCTAAAATTTGTTAGATATTAAAAACAGAGATGTCGCCACGAGTGTTTATTCTGTCATCAGATGATAGAATATTTCATTCTGTAACACTTTACAGAATATATGTCATTCCATAGATAAAAGTGATATTATAAGGGTCAAATTCCGTAATAGGAGTAGAAAAAAAACATTCTGTTTCACTTGTGAGAAAAGCTTTCTTCAAGCTGGCGGCCTCGTGAGCAACTTAAACACTCGCATGAAAAAGTCGCTTTTCAACACTTGTAAAACAAATAACTATTAATTATTTATGTGCGCATTTCTTCATTTCATTTCTTATTTCTTATTTCTTATAAAACTCAGTTTTGCTTTTTTGCCACAATTTCTTCTTCATTCTGCTTTTTCAGGTTTGGGCTTCCAAACTTCATTAGGTTTAGCTGCTAGAGGTTGTAGAGTAATTATTGCATGTCGAAGTAATGCCGAAAAAGACAAGGAACAAATAATTAACCTAACAAATAATCCTAACATAGTATTGAAGAAGCTCGACTTAACTTCATTTAAATCAATCAGAAGTTTTGCTGAAGATCTCAACAAAACCGAGGAAAAAATCGATATTTTAATCAACAACTCAGGCGTTGGAACCATTTCTGAAGAATTGACTGAAGATGGCTATCAAATTATTAACCAAGTAAACTATTTGGGACCATTCCTTCTAACACATTTACTTATAGGTAGGTATAGCAGATTACTTTTTGAAACTTGGATTGCAAACATAAAATCAAATTGTTTAAGGGCTCTTAAAAAAACCTAATAGAGCAAGAATTGTATGGCTTTCATCGTTTTCGGTATGGTTAAACCAATTAGAAGTAAATTCAATGGGAGCAAAAAAAGCTGATCTTCGTTACTTAGCCTTAACGCATTCTTATGCCGATACCAAGGCAGCTATAGTTGTCATGTCAAATGCATTTGCAGAAAAATTAAAACCTTTCAATATAACCTCAAACGCTTTACACCCTGGAGTTTGTTACACGGATATTTTCCAGGCAGCTGATGCCGTTCTGCCTACACTTTTTGTGAAATTATTTTACGGTTTGGGAAGACTTTACTTTAAAGTTTGTTTTGAGATACAATTTTTAAAAACTAAAATAAACTATTTGCATTTTAGTCGCCTGAATCTGGCGCCCAACTAACATTGAAGCTGGCTATGTCGCACAGCCTAAAACACTTGACAGGAGCATTTTATTGGGACTTCTATTCCTATCCTTCTCCTAGTATTTTAAGCGATAAACAATTTGAAGCTGAATTGTGGAAAGAATCAGAAAAATGGGTGCACCTTAGAGATCAAGAAAGAATTTAAAAGAATCAGCTTTATATTTGCTTTCCATATCCAAAACATAATATGTGTTGTTATTTATTCTGTTTAAATTGTGTCAATAAAGGTTTCCTTTACAAACAGCCAAAACAGTACTGCTAGACTTTTCTTCTTTAAATTGAACATTGTGTAGGTACAATACAATATAATGTAATAATTTTGGTCTACAGTACCTCTATTCATTGTCATAGGTTAGTCCCGGCTGGAGCTTAAACAAAATAGGGGAAGTGCTTTAAATAAGTCTCTAGCTTCCATTAAAGTTAGCTTCGCCTAATGCTCGACTTAGAACAGTTATCCATTCGCACAACTTTTGTAGTTACAGAGCAAATATTTAATAGTTAATACAAACAATAATTTACTAAAATGTAATTGAAATAAACTGCAAGTTCAAAGATCAGTTTTGTAATGTTTTTAAACAAAACATAGACATTTTTTTCTACTAATTAAATTACATAAACGCTAACAATTCGGTTAATTATCTTGTAAGCAATTTATTTGTACTAGTGATTAACTCAACATTAAATATTATTCATATATATATATATATATATATATATATATATATATATATATATATCGATGCCTGTTAAGTTGTCACTTCCGTAGTATAAACAAGGCGTCCTAACTTCCACATGAACGAAGGCTTATACAAGCATTTTAAAACTATATATAAGTGAAGGGGAACCTACGTAATCCGAATCTCTAGAGAGGGGAAAGGATTTCGCAAATAAATATTTGTGTACTATGGCCGTGACTTAGTCACTTCCATCATATATAGAGACAATTGCATCGTAGACACTTCCGACAGGGTTGCCAGATTTTCGAGTCTAAAAATAGATTTAGTCTAGTTATCTCTCTCCGTTGCTCATGCGGACCTTTTTTAATTCGAAACGCTTAAAGTAAATATTCTGTTATGTGCAACACTTAGTAACCACCCTAGTAGAAATTTTACGTAGAAACAACGTTTTTCCCACGTTGGCAAAACCTAACTTTTATGTATAATTTTATGTTGAAATGTCCCGGTTTATAACGTTATCTGACAACGTTAGTTTTTAATGTTATAAAAAACGTGGGATTTACGTATTATACAACGTTGCTTTTATGTATTATAAAACGTTGCAAATACGTGGGTTTTGTGTATTATACAACGTTGCTTTTATGTATTATAAAACGTTGCAAATACGTGGGTTTTGTGTATTATACAACGTGGGTTTTATGTATTATAAAACGTTAGAAATATGTGGGATTTCTGTATTACAAAACGTTGGATTTTTTAATTATTTTGGGTAGGATTTGTAGAATATTTTTAAAAAAAATATTTAAAACATTACAAAAATTTATTTTACAACAAATAATACAAAATATGAAAATAAATACAAAAATTAAAATATTAAAAAAAGTTGAGTATTAGGTCAGAAATTTTTACATTTCATTAAAGTAAATTTTAGTAATTACAAATGTACATATAAGACATTCTTTTACAAATCGTACACCTATTTTGACTTTAGGGTTTGGATTCGCATGAAAATTTTTTTACCGCTTTTATTCAGTAAATAAGCAGATACGTGTATCAGGTTTTCTGTAAAAAATTTGTTTTTTCAGAGATATGTTGATATAAAGTTTTTATGAATTGCGATAAAACGATGAATTCTCCTCTACATAAAACCAATTATCTCCGGTTCTACTGATCGGATCGATTTTGTTTTTTTTTGTTTTAAACCTTATTGAATAGGCTTTTCAAATAAATAAATTAAATTTTTTTTTTTTTTTAAGTATAGGGAGTTAATAACAGATTAATTTTTTAAACTAGTTTTTCATGTTTGCCCCCTCTATAAAATAAAAGGAAAAAAATACTATTTTATGCGCTTTTTCTTTATCTACAAAATACATTTTTCAGAACAGTGGAGACTCTTTTGGATCGGAAGATATTAAACATTTTCGAGCGCGTGACAGGACTGTCAAGCGCGTAATATTCAAACGTATTAGTGCATGTGGCGGGTGACGTGATATTTTGTATAAGAGTGCCATGATTCGACATCTTTTAATTGGTGACTTATTTGTGCAAATGTCAATTCTGCCAGTTAATAAATTTACTCATTAATTGGAGTTTGTATTATTTAAAATTTAATTTATTTAAAATTATTGAAAACCTTTAAAATCAGAATTAATTTACAAAAAGCGCTGGAATTTTTTTAAAACGATGTATGAGTTTACACTATCCTAAATGTGTTAGCGTTTCGAAGATGTCTGATTAGGGGGTGTCCATTAATTACGTGAGTCAATTTTAGCGATTTTTTGACCCCCTCCCCCCTTGCTGAGATGTCGTGAGATTTGGCTCAACCCCCTCCCCCTAATCTCACGTGAGATTTTAAAAAATGCTTATTTTTAGTGATGTAGAGTGGGGAACGTTCCCTTCGTGCTGTGGCGAATATTCGCGCACAATTAAATCGTTCGTGCGCGCATCCCTATTAAAAATGCCATATAGAAACACATATATATATATATATATATGGTTCTATATGGTTCAATATAGGAATTTGAAACAGGCATTGCACTATTGAACCAGATAGAATTCCATACCTGGAAAACCATATAGAAAAGTGATTTCTATATGGATTGCCATATAGGTTCATATTGCTCTATCTGGCCCAATATGGTTTGGGTGTGAAAAAAATTATTACCATATAGATCCATATTTAACCATATAGGGGAATCTATATGGTTTAATATGCAATTTTCGTTTAAATATATATACATTTAAAAAATGGAATTCCATATTCAACCATATAGGGAAACCTATATGGAAAGACACATAAAACAGAAACCAGATAAATCCATATAAAAATCCCTAAGTTGTACATTTTAAAATGAAATTCCATATTAAACCATATAGATTCCAAAGTGTAAACCAGGTCATTCCATATAGGACATATAGAACCATATAAATCCATATTAGTTTCCTTATCTGGATCAATATGGGTTCTATAGGGCATTTTTAATAGGGATGATAGATCGTTCTTTCGTGTCCAAACGATTTATCGTGCGCGGACGTTCTCTAGAGAACTTTGAGCACGATTCTGGCCAATCGGCGCGTTTCATCCGCGTGACCGCGTGTATTGCACATAATACAGCCCTGGTAATATCTTCAAATAGTTAACAAACATGCAAAAACTACTGTCGGCAACGGTATCACAAACCGCCGGTCTCTTTTGTGGCGATGCCGAGCGTAGTTTTTGCATGTTTTTCTATGCGGCTGTTGGGTTTTAAAAATATTTTGACTATTTTAATTTTGATTCAGTTAACACATTCGATTCGTTGCGTAAAGGTCAGTGCTCGGGTCAGTGTGTGTGATTAGAGAGATTGGGTAGTGTTATTTTTTTTTGTTTTCCGCGGGAAACTTAAATATTTGATTTAATAAATATGCCCTGAAGAAAATGCGAGGCATTTGATTTTTTTTTTTATAAAAAGTTTTTTGTTAAGTTACCTAAATTCTTACATGATGTTTCTACATCACGGTACTTTGTATGCTATTTAAGATGTTACTTAAAATTTTGCTATTTCTTACTTAATAAAGTTTTTTTTTAAGTTAGAAGTAATTATTGTATTATTTACAACCCAGAATATTAATACAGTGTCATTTTTCTTAAGAAGCGTTTGGAAAATTTTGAGCATTTTTAGCATTTTGAGAATTTTGAGCATTTTCGGAAAAAACAGGAAAAGTAAGTTTTTGAATACTTTATCACACCCCAAACATAAATTCTCGGGTTTTTTTCGTTTATGCTCGTTTATTCTCGTTCATGCTCGTTTGTGCTCGGGGAACGTTCTTCTAAAATACGTGCTCGAGAATTTTACATCACTACTTATTTTTAATGTTTATACGTTAAACTTCTTGATTCTGTTGGATTTATTAAAAAAACATACTTTGTTAAAAATTACGTGATATTTGCCGAGACCCCCCCCTCTCCCTTACGTGAGAATTGATGAGATTTGGCTTGACCCCCTCCCTCCCCTAAACGCCTCACGTAATTAATGGATGCCCCCTTACGGCTTGTACCGGTCACGCGCTCGAAAATATTTAATATCTTCCGATCCAAAAAAGTCTCCATTTTTCTGAAAAATTCATTTTGTAGAGTAATAAATAGTGCATAAAACAATATTTTTTTCATTTTTTTTCATAGAGGGGGCAAACACAAAAAATCTGTTTATACAAAAAAAAATATTTTTTTCAAATAATAAACAAAACACAAACTTTTTAAATATTTATCTAAAAAGACTATGTAATATGGTTTAAAATAAAAAAAAAATGAAAACGATCCGATCAGTAGAACCGGAGATAATGAATTTTAAGTACAAAAAAATTCAGCATTTTTTCAAATTTTATCAAAAGTTTAAATCAATATATCTTTGGAAAAATAAATTTTCTGCAAAAATTCCGATATAGGGGTCGGCTAAATTTATGAAAAGATGCTGTAAAAAAAAATTAAGTCATTTTAAACATTTGAAAAAATATGTTTTCTGTAATCCGTACGATATGTAAAAGAATGTCTCATATAGGGAAAAAAATTTCTATTAAAAAATCTATTGCACAAGCAGTAAAAAAAATGCTTTGAATTGATTTACATGGTTTTAATTTATTATTAAAACTATTATTAAATATCATTAAGGTTTAAACCTATTGCTAAGTAAAAATATAAAATCATGTAAACAATTTTTTACTAATTATAATCATTAGTAGGTAATGGTAACTATGGTGCATTATCAATGGTAACCATTGTGTACTATTTGAGAAAAGTAACATTTTAAAAAATTAAGTAAATGGATTGCTAACCAAAAACCTAAAATCATGGATAAAATTTGCTACTGATTATTCAGTAAAAAATACATGATTTTTGGTTAGCAATGATAACCATTGTACAGTAGATTAGAAAAGTAAGATTTTAAAACATATACAAAAAATGTGTGGTAAATGTATAATAGTTTGTTTAACAAGTGTTGAAAAGCGACTTTTTCATGCAAGTTTTAAATTGCTGAAGAAAGCTTTCTACGACCCTTTTATTTTTTATTATTTTCAAATGCAAAACAAAATAACCTAAAAAC